ATTGAACAGGATGGAATCATTTCAGATTTAAAGAACTTTCAGAAGTTTAGATTTAGAATATGAGCGACTTTTCATTTAAGTTTTTATCTAAACTTCAGTTTAACTTTCATCCCAATGCTAATAAGTCATAAACTGTTGGTACCTATTATGTATAATTGAACTCAAAGCATATTTTAATAATATTTAGCAAGTAGAAATAGTTTGTTAGAGTGTCTGGTTGAACAACATAAGGTTTTTTTCAGTTGGTGAAAAATGATGGTGAACGTTAGTTTAACTGTAAAACTGGGTCAGGTGGCGTAAAGAGGGCATGTATAGAATAGAAAGGAACTATTACAGAATTCATTAAAAATCTAATAAAATCAAGCCAGAGGACGGAGGCCCCTGAGGGCCCTCACACCAGAGAGGAGCTTAAGAGGGAGCATAATTGTTAAAAAAACAAAAACACAAAAACATTATTTTTTTTAATAATGACTAAAACTGTCATAATTCTGCACTTTTCAGTTCTGTTTAGGTTTTCTTTTTGAGTTTTCAGCTATATCTTGATTTATGATTCTGTGTTTTCTTAGCTTCATTTCTATTTTGTTTTATTCTAGTTGTCTTTGGTTCTATTTTTTTAGTTCTTATGTATTTCTTGTTTGCCCTCTGCTGCCCTCTTCTGGCAGTCTCTTTCTCCTAGCTCCCTTCTAGACTCCTCTGTTCACACCTGCTCCCAATCTGCTGATTAGCCTTGTCTTTGTTCAGTCTGCCTGCTGTTCAGTCACTGTTTCCTGGCTCCTCATCGTTTCCTGGCTCCTCGTGCGTGTTCACCCTGACCTTACTGGATTTTTTGATTCTCAGTATTTTAGGATGGTTGCCTCTGTTGCCGTGGAAGTTTGATTAAAACTGCAATTGCATAATTAAAACTGCAGATCTGCATTTGGGTCCTCCAAAACCTCCACTTGACAAAAACAGGTTACTCATGAGCTAAAAAAGATCCCAAATCCACTTTTTAATCCACTGATTAAATACACTGTGATTGGCAAAATGAGAGGGAGTTGACAGATTCTTCTGCTCCAAGAGGTTTCTTTAGCAAATGTTAGAAAAAGCAGGAAGGATCCCAGTGGAGAGCGGCAGATTGATGCTGGCGTTAAAGATGATCCAGTGAAGCTATCGGTTTCCTTTGGGGTGCAGGATGAAGTGGGTTCATAGATGAGAGTGGGCGACAGTAATAAATAGCTCAGCGAGTGGATTAAAGGGAATAAGTGAAGCAGACAATTAAATTTGAGTAAATGAAAAGTGAAGGCGAGGAATGTAAAGACGCACAGCTTATTCTCTTAATGAACTCTCCTCTGGAATGTTATTAGACAGAATTATTTCTTATACTTGGCTTCAGTTTTGTGCCTGTCTATGTTTGGTTTATTTTCTTATTGTTATAAAGTGTGCATTAAAACAAACACGAAAATTAGCAGTGTGATACATCGAGAGAAGAGAAAATATACATATTGCTCAAAATCAAAACTGTTAAGAAATTGAGTGAAAAATTAGTTCTTATTTCGGTTTCTTATTGTACATTTATTTGTTATTTTTTGCATCTTTACTACTAATATACGTTCTGTTTACTAATTAAGGGATGTTGGACTGTATCAAACTGAAAAATGTGACAAATACCATCGTACTAACCCTTTTTTAGGTTTGAATTTTTAAATATTTATGAAAAACACAACATTTCCCATTTAGTTTAGAGTTATATCTAGTGTGTTTCAGTCTATAGCATGAAATCCTAATAAATAAGTTGGAAATGAAGGCTGGATCACACTGAGGTTTGCAGCAAGTTTATCATTAAATTACAATCATTTTTGCTGATGACGACAGAATAAAGAAACAAAAGCCTTAAAATGATGTTGTCGTGTTTTTGTATTGCAGTACGGAACGACAGCGCTGATGGTGGCGTCCTACAGCGGTCATTATGAATGCGTCAAAGAGCTCATTATGCAAGGAGCAGACATCAATTACCAGAGAGAGGTAGATGTGCTTCAGGAAGTTACTCATAATTAGTTGTTTTTCTTCCCCTCAAAGCTAAGTTTTCTGTGATCATTGCAGACGTCTGGATGAGCTGCTTTGGCGTGGTTTTGAAACAATATTGTTAAATAAAACATAAAGAAAAAGGAAAAGGCTTGTGCCAGAGGCGGCTGGTGGAGGTTTTTCCAGGGGGGGGGCTATAAATTCAAAATAGACGTATGCAAAAAAACAATCAAACATATTCTAAGTTATCACACCGGCATGTTTATAGGAATGCAAGCAACAAAAAACATTATAAAAACATAATTTCATGCATAAGTTTACTTTTTTCTACATAAATTGTGTCCTTCTGAGGCTGTGAAGATAAATCTGTGTTCTGCATGGTCCAATATTGTGTCACTAACCTAAAAAAAACATGCAGTTTAATAATGGACGAGCTATTAATGAACATTATGTTTTCTAATATATAAAAAATATTCATTTTCTGAGAATGTGTTTATTTAAGAGCAACTATGCAAATTAACAAACATCTACAAAAATGATACTATTACGGGGCGCTGTTTATAAAGTGAAGCAGCCAAAAATGAGGAGTAATATTTATGGTTATTTAGTGTGTTTTAAGAGAAAAATAAGGGGGGTATTTTTTCCAGAGATGGCAAAAGTACTCACTTTCCGTACTTGAGTAAAAGTACAGATACTTGTGTTAAAAAATACTCTGGTAAAAGTGGAAGTACTGATTA